AGGGTATTCATACCTTGAATTTTTACAAATGTAGTTTCAACACGTTGCACAAGTGGGTAAATAACGGCAACAACAATCCACCAATCAATGGATGGCGTGCATGCAGGCTTTTTTTTCATTGAAGTGCTGGAGCAATCGCAATCGCTTGTCAATTAACCACTTCAATAGCTTCCCCATCGAGAGCCACCGTGTTGTCACAAACATAGGACACGTTGATTTCATGTCAGCAATTAAGTTCTGCTGACGTCGTAGGTGTCCTGTGACACTCGTTAGAGTGTCAAGAAACTTCTCATTGCACAATCTATTGAATGCTCGCTTCATTACAAGATCAAGTTGGTGTGCCCCACACCAGATTCGAAAGACTCGTGAATGGCATTCATTTGACAAACGAGTGCATGTACCTTTGATGGAACCCGTCATGGTTGACGCACCATCTGTTGCAATCCCAATAAGCTGATGCCTCCAATTCGGAGCGAGAACATCCAAAAGAGAAACCACTAGATTGGCCTGATACTCACCAGTGTGTCGCTCGCGCATAGGGATAGCCAATAAGTGCAGATTCTGAATGTCACCTTTGAATAAACATCGCATGCGGATGTCAAGGTACGATGATCCTGCATTGTTCCCAGCATCAAGCCCAATGGAGAACGCCCATACCTTCTTGAACAGCTCCTTTAGATACTGAAGATTGATAGCACACACAATACGACAAAGCTGCGCAACTTCACCATCGGAGACTGATCCCAAATGACCCATACCTGTCTGTTCTTTCACTGCTTGGTATATCCTCCTTGCTTGGCGAAACGAGACCCCAATTTCAACAAAACTTGCAACCATGTTCAACTTGAGTACGGACTTCACCTTCACAGTGTAGACGTCATCTTCGGCAGTGTAAACGAACATCTTCAAGATTCTTTTCTTTTCCAACGTTGCATAAAGTTCAGTGTTGGTAAACTCATTGTCACTACCACCGTCACTTTCTTCTTCAGGCAATATGGCCGAGTTGGATGATGCGGATGCTGAACCTTCATCCAGCACATCTTGTCTTCCCTCAATAGTTGGCGTCAGGAGCAATTCCAATATCAACTTTGATACAATATCGCCATCAATAACAAAGGAGCACTTCTGTTTGGCAATTATCTGAGCCTTGAGACTTGCTTCTGGTTGTACAAAGGACCGCAAATTCACTCTCTCAGGAGATTCAGTTACAGCGAAGAAGTGTACCTTCTCCGCAGGAGCGAGCTTCCTGTATTCCTCCCACATTACTGCATGCTGCTTGCGAAGATGGCTAACAAAATTATCAGTGCGCCAAGGAGCTGTGTAGTATTTGTCATTTGATGTCCGCTTTCGCTTTCGCTCAGCAGCCTCGGCATCATCTTCGCGGCCGAAATTTGTACACATCAAACATACCACACTGCACACGTCTTTGGAGACCGGATCACGTGTACAAACTTGCACAGCATACTTCACCTCCCAATCCTGATGGAATTTTACAGCACCCTTGGGCTTCTTGGATGTCATGGTGAGTAGTTGGTAAGTTCAGAAGTGAAGTCCAACAACTTTAACAAGGTCCCTTTGACACTGAAAGTTTGACTATTTTTAACACGGCATTGTACGAGAGAAAAGTGCCACGTCACCCTTAAATTCGGGAGTTTCTTAGACCTTAATTTCGGGAAAACTCCCGAAAATTAAAAAAAACCCGAAAATAAAGAGGCCTGCCTGGGCACTGGAGTCACGATTTGCGGAATCTGTGAATCTGACGTGTCGTCATTTCTCTGCCTTCTTGTTTTTCCGTTTGCTTGACAGTCTTTGTTTCTAAACCAAGACAGCTATTAAAATAGTTGATGCGCGGAACGTCACGTGTCGTGTCGTCATCGGGTTATGAGTTCTTGATGTTTAGCATTTGTGGTTGTGTGAACCTTTGATTTTCAAAAACAGAGGATGCGCAACTGTGTAACATATCCGGTTTTGAGAGTCGAGAGTGTGCCATCCGCCATCAAGGGAAAAACTACGAGAGCAAAGCACTATACTTGTACGCTGCGCCTTCTATTCATCGGCTTCAAGCAGTCTTCTTTTTCAACCGAGTTCGGATTTGATTTCCGCATTACTGAGTAGTCCTGAAAACAGGGTGACGATTGGACGATTGAGGGGTGGGAGAGAACACAAACAAGAAGTCTAAGGATTAGTTAGAAAGTTGATAAAAAGTCACAAGCAACCGAAGAGAGAAAGACATTTAGCCCTCGAGCATAATGAAGTTTAACACGGCTGCCCTTTTCGTCCTCCTGACGGCAAGCTCAACAGCCGCCTTCACTCCATCTGTCGGAGCATTTGGAGTTACGCGCAGAACGGGAGCCGACAACAAGTCTTCCTTCAGAAGAAGAACAACTGATGCGTTGTTCTCGACAACCGAGAAGCGCCTTGCTGAGATAGCTGCTGAAGCGGCGGCTGGCACTTTTGCGCCGTCGTTTCACTATTCGGCTGTGGAAGCACGAGCCGCTGCTTCGTCTTATCTTGAGCAATACAAGGGACAATCTGGTGCCTCTGCTGCTTACTCAAAGCTTCAAGAGAACGATGTCTTGGTTGTCAATGGTTATTCAGGTGGTGCTGTCCTTCCTCTTTTGGATCAGTTTCACGAAGATCACCCACGACACATCAACTCCGGAAAGAAACCTATCCGCTGGATCACCAACTCGAACGAACAAAACGCCGGACATGTTACGGAGGGGATTGCAAAGGCCATGCCAATTGATGGCGACAAACTCCCCGTTGGTGTTTGCATTGCGACTTCTGGCCCAGGAGTCACAAATCTTATTACCCCTCTCCAGGATGCCATTTGCGATGGTGTTCCTATGGTCGTCTTATGCGGGCAAGCAGCTAGTACCGCGCCGCTTGACGCTTTCCAGTCGGCTCCTGCCGTTGAGTTGACGACCCCATGTACAAAGTGGAGCTACTCTGTCAAGTCTGCAGCAGAGATCCCGTTCGCCCTGGACTACGCGTTCTTTCTTGCTAGAAATGGACGTCCGGGACCAGTGTTTCTGGATTTACCCAAGGACTTGCAGAACCAGATCATCGACGACGACTTGATCACAAGCTTTGTTCAGTCTTCGTTTTCGGAGGATTCTAAGAGTGAATTTGCTCGCCTTGTTGACCGACGAAGACCCGGCGGAGGGAACTTCAAAGCCTTGCATCTTGGCAAAAAGGAAAAGGGTCTTTCGTTCGAGGTGGCTAAGGAGGTGAATGGCGCCCTGAAGCTCACCCCCGTGGCTACCATGGGCGGAGTTGATTTGTTTGATGCAGACCACAGCCCTCAGAACAGGATTTACTACTTGGACGAAGGTGTGAACGGAAATGGTCATTATGCAGAGGGAGACATCGATGGTCCACTTCTGACAAACATCATCAAGTTGCTCCAGAAAGCCAAGAAGCCTGTCATTATTGCTGGTCAGGGATGTAACAATTGCCCCGAGGAGCTCAAGACCCTTGCTGAGACTCTCAAGATCCCTGTCACAACTACTCTTCACGCCCTCGGTTGTTTTGACGAGAGATCCGAACTGGCCTTGAATATGATGGGCATGCACGGACATCCAACACCCAATTTTCTTGTGCAGCAATCGGACCTCATCATTTGCATCGGATCTCGATTTGACGACCGTATTACGGGGAAAATGACCGACTTTGTTCCGGAAGCGCGCAAGGCTGCTGAAGAAGGCCGAGGTGGTGTCATTCACGTTGACATTCGTCTGTCGGAGAAGAACAAGCAGCTGACGCCCAACTTCTTTGTTCACGCAACAGCGAAGACTTTCCTTCAGAAGATTAACAAAAAGCTGGGCGAGAATGGTGTCCAAAGCGTCAGCACGCAGGAATGGCTGAGAAAGATGAAGCAGATGAAAAAACAATATCCGATCGGCATTCCTCGCTTCCCGAAGCGATCCATCACCACGACTAACGAGAACGGCGAGCCTACCACTCTCGTGCGAACTCCCATGTCAGCTCAAGGCGTCGTACAGGAAATGAACTTGCAGCTCCTGAAGGCCGGTGAGATGGACAACTGCATCTTCACCACTGGTGTTGGTATCCACCAAATGGTAGCAGCGCAGCTCATTACATGGACACAGCCACGACAAATGCTGAGCTCGGGTTCCTTGGGAACCATGGGTGTCTCGACCGGATTCGCCATTGGAGCAAAGCTTGCTCAGGTGGGCAAGACCGTGATTTCTGTGGATGGAGATGGCAGTTTCAACATGACTTTCACAGAACTCAAGACGATTATGGAACAGGGAATTCCTGTTAAAATCCTGATCTTAGATAATGAGGCTCAAATGATGGTGGAATACTGGCAACGTTTGTTTCACGACAAGCGCTACTTGGCGGTCCGCAACACGAATCCTGATTATGTGGTTTTGGCACAAGCTTTCGGAATCAAAAGTGTGTACTGCGATTGTGAAGAAGATCTTCCAGCCAAGATGAAGGAGTTCTTGTTCGAAGACCCCGACAAGCCCGTCTTGTTCCACGTTCGTATCGAACGAACACCGTGCTTGCCTCTCGTGGCGCCTGGACAACGTTTGGAAAACATGATTCTCGAGGATGAAGACTTTGAAGTAGACCCTGCTGCGGCTCCTAGCTAGACGACAACGCAAGCCATTTTAAACTGAGTATATAGCTCCGAATTGCATTTATATGTATCGTTTCTTTTAAACGACTTAATGCAAGAAATTATGTGATTTGCCAAGTCGAGGTGGTAGCCTTCAAATGCTCAATCCAGAGCAGAGTGTCCTGTATCGTTCTCAGTATGACTCAACAAATCAGAGCAGACTCCGTCATACTCGAGCACAAGGTATGTTCATAAACCGTTCTCCCTGCTGTCTCGTAGGGCTGGATGAGCTTAGAACTAAGATGCTACGATATGATCTCCATAGATCACAAGTATAGTTGCGCATGAAGACAGGACATTTTACGTTTAGCAACATCGGGAATTGGGAATTAGCGACCAAAAAGAGTTGTGCTCCCCTGTGAGGATCGAACTCACGACCTCCGGATTATGAGACCGACGCTCTGCCAACTGAGCTAAAGGAGCGTGGGATGAGCACAACTTTCAATATAATTTTAGACGTGCAGATTGCTTTACATAATTACTGTCAAATTTGAGGATTCTGCCACTACTTTTAGGACACGTCAGCCTTTTTGAAAGTTGTGGCCATTCTCTATGATCTGTTATCTGTCGTTCGGGGACGATGACTGAGACGAATTGATGTTCGACGAGCTGCGCGTAGCCTAGCGAAAGAAGGCAGTGTTAGAAATTATCCAGGGCGATCACCGCTCGTCATCATCCTCATCAGCCCTACCCTCAGTATAAGAACTTACGATAGGTGATCCTGTGCAGCGCCATGAGACTATTGGGCGTGGCCAAGTTCGTTCTGCTCGCCTCATTCTTGATGGCGCTGAATGTGTCGAATGCACTTTCCTTTTACAAATCGTCTATCAAACACTCAACTTCAACTTTGTCAGTATCAAGAGAAGCACGCTGCGTCTCTATGTCAGCTTCCTTTGTTGGTTGTGTGTCTGCACTGCGACCAGAAGCCCGCAACGACTTTGCTAGTACGTGTGCGAGCTCAATACCTCACACGACGACGAGTTATTGGATCATGGGAAAGGGGGATGGAAAAAGGAAAAAACCAAAGAAGAAGGCAGCTTCGGCGGTTGCATTGCCAGTGGCGGAGTTGAAACCGCAGCCACAACGAGTCAGTACCGACGTCAATATTCCTGTGCGACATCAGATTCGATGGGGTCAGATGAAGAAGGCGATCGCCAGATCGTCCAACGCAGGGTTTCGACAACCCAAAATTGTTCGAACCAAATATCGACGTTCGTGGGGTGAGTTTTTATGTATTAACTATGGGCTGTAGGCAAACTCTCGGTATCCTTTCTCCTCCCCGTCCGCATCTAACACATTGTCGTTGTCCAAATGATTGCGTCAGACGAAGAAGAGATTGAAATAAAAAAGGAAGAGCGTGCCCGGAAGGGCAAGGATCCCGATTGGTCCGTTATTTTGAACCAAACAGCATCTCGACCGCTTGTGGTTGTAGATGGTTACAACATTATCCATCAATGGCCGCGACTCAAGAAGCACATGACCAAGGGCGATACATCCCGTGCTCGACAGCTGCTTGTGGACGATTTAGAATCTCTGAGAGCGCTGAAAGGATGGCGAATAGAATGCGTCTTTGATGGTGCAAGCAAGTCCAATGTGGGACCTTTAGGACACGGGCCAGGTGGATCGCAAGGCACGAAAGCCGATCGAAGTTTGTCAATGGATGTTTCTAAGCACGGAGTCCGCGTGGTCTTCACAGGCCAAGGAGTGGAGGCCGATTCTTACATTGAAAGACGCTGCTACGAGGCCAAGAATGTGACCAACGGCGAATTGACTCGATCTTTCATTGTTGCCACGGACGATGCAATGATTAGATTCGCTGGACAGAATGCTGGCGCCATGTGCATGAGCGCGACGCGGTTTGTGGACGAGCTCAAGGCCATAAAGAAGGCTACTGAATATCGTGTGGAAGTGGCAATGGCTAAGGTAAATGGCCATTCTGTACGACCGGAGAAACTGCGAGGGACGCACATTCACGTGAGCACGTTCGGTCGGAATTCAGTGTTGATTGAAGACAAGCGCAATCGAACGAAGCGAACGAGACTGAAAGATATTGAGCTCCTTCCCGAAGATATGGTTAATGTGACAGTCAACGATGATAAGAATGGAATACCATGGTGGGCACAGGTGCCAAACAGAACTAAACTATAAATCAGAGCGTTCTACACTAGCGAAGCAATCTCGAGTATCGTGTATGCCATCCATTGCCAACGAGACAAATGCATCCGGAAACCATCATGAACCATAAAGCATTCACTGATACTTCCATCACTTTCCTCCGAACCCAAACCACGATGCACTTCCTCCCGTCACTTCACCGCAAGGTTTTGAAGATCCTTCCTTCCAATTGGTACAACGGTCTTCTTCCTTGATGCCCTGTAGGGCCGATGTCACATGCAAGCCACATCCAGCCCATGTTGCCTTCCCACACGCTTTGCATTCCACTTTACGGCACATCGTGTGGCTTTTGATGTTAATTAATCAATTACTCCGTGAGAAAATGGGAATTGGATGAATCAGAAATAAGTCGGCATGTGGCATGTATGCATGGACCATGCACGCCAGTCGCCAGTCCTGCATGTACTGGTAGTAGTACTGGACTTTAGAGTACCGGATACTTCATACGATACTGTAGCGTCTCGGAATCCAAGGGGTGACAGACATGAGAGACATCCAAAAAATCAAATCTACGAAGGAGACTAACACGGCGCTCTCAGCCTGCCAAACGTATGAGGTAATCCAACAACAGCAAATAGCAGAAATATACGTCATCAATTCAAGGTCCTTGTGCTCGCCATACCTGGTACCTTCACCCTCGCATCGATCGGTTGATTCGGGTCAGCACATTGCACATTGGGTCTTGTACCATGGCGTTTCGAATGACAATCCAGAATGTAAGAAACTGCTGACGAGAGGACTTGATCTAGGTCGTATAAAGATGTGCTGAGGGGTCACGATGGATGGAACAACGAGCCGACGGAAACTCGAATTGGCCTCATTGTGGCGTTGTGATTTGTGAATTCGAGCTCTTCCAGTACAGTAAAATGCACAAGAGTTCATATTAAATCTATTTTATCGCCTCAGGCATCGATCAAGTTGTCTACCCGAATACATGCATGAGATCCGGTGCTTGTCTTGTCCGTTGCGACGTACATGTTAAACAGGTTAACTAACGCTACCGCATCTCGTCCTCTCCAGAGCACTCGCAAGGCGCTCCTTCGCCTTCAGCAGCGTGGTTTTGCAGCGCAGGCTGCTGCAGCTGCTCCTTTAGCGAGCTTTCCAGATTATGTACTCCGAGCACCCACAACGGATGTCACCACTTTGGATTCGGGCTTGCGAGTAGCTTCCGAAACTGTCATTGGATCGGAAACTGCCACTGTTGGTGTCTGGATCGATGCTGGATCTCGGTACGAAACGGCTAGAAACAACGGTGCTGCTCACTTTTTGGAACACATGGCTTTCAAGGGAACGACCAAGAGAACTCAACAACAGTTGGAGATGGAAATTGAAAACATGGGTGGTCATTTGTGAGTTTATGCCATCATGTTTTGAAACTTGCTCTTTTCACTCCACACATCTCTCACCTTTGCGTTCTGTATCCTCGCTCCCACTTAACGTTAGGAACGCATATACTTCTCGTGAACAGACTGTCTATTTCGCCAAGGTTTTCAAGAAAGACGTTGGATGGGCTCTCGAGATTCTGTCAGACATTCTGCTGAACTCCAAGCTTGAAGAATCTGCCATCGAACGAGAACGTGACGTTATCTTGAGAGAAATGTCGGAAGTCAACAAGAAACAAGAGGAACTTGTTTTGGACAACTTGCATGCGACCGCTTTCCAGGGAACTGGTTTGGGACGCACGATTCTGGGATCTGAAGAGAACATTCGATCTCTCACCCGAAATGATCTCACTGACTACATCAACACTCACTACACTGCGCCTCGCATGGTCATTGCTGGCGCCGGTGCCATTAACCACGAAGAGCTCTGTGCTTTGGCTGCAACTGCGTTTGGAAGCTTGCCAACTGCTCCTAAGGGTGCAGTTGAGGTCGCCATGGATCCTGCAGTGTTTACTGGAAGCGATATCAGGTGAGTTTCTGCTTTCCCACAATTTTGTTCGTCATGTTTAAAGTTCTAACGCATCGAGAAGAGTTCGTTTTGACTCTATGGACATGGCACACGTGGCTGTCGCGTTCCAGGGTGCCTCTTGGACGTCGGAGTACGCTTTCCCTCTCATGCTGATGCAGACGATGTTGGGATCCTACGATCGTGCTTCTGGAATCGGCAAGAATTCCGCGTCCAAATTGTGCCAAGAGATCGCTATGAGCGAGACCGCTCATTCTCTCTCCACCTTCAACACGTGCTACAAAGACACTGGTCTCTTTGGTGTGTACGCTGTTGCTCCTGACAATAAGCTTGACGATATGATGTGGCATATCATGAATCACCTTGTGCGATTGGTGCATGTTCCTTCGGACGAAGAAGTCGAACGCGCCAAGGTTAACCTGAAGGCCACGTTGTTGATGGCTTTGGATGGAAACTCCAACGTGGCGGAAGATATTGGAAGACAAATGTTGACCTATGGACGTCGCATGACGCCGGCGGAGATTTTCTCCAGAATCGACGCTGTTACTACTTCTGACATCAAGGCGACAGCCGCCAAGTTTATCAATGATGAGGATCACGCTCTGTCAGCTGTGGGTGGTATCCACGAGCTTCCGGACTACAACTGGATCCGTCGCCACTCGTACTGGCTTCGTTACTAAGCATGTAAGAAATAATTTAGGAGGCGATTTTCTCTTTAAAAGGATGCAATTCCTACATTATTCCTGAGTTGCGCGTGCGCACTAGTGTATTGACGTGCCTACTACATGGCAGCAAGGTTGGAAGCCGTCACAAATCCTGCGAAAGCTGTCGCTAGGACAGCGGCTGATGCTGGGTCGGATTGAATCATGGAAAGAATAATGTCATCCAACTCGTCGGTACTTTGCGATCCACGTTCCGTAATGGCACCAAATTTGTAGCTGACTAAAAATGCGGCCCCAACAATGGCAAAGGCAATAGGGAACGTGATGGATGGTTTCAAAATCCAGGGCGCTTCTTCTCCCGTTTCTCCCTCAAAGAAACCAAAGAAATACCATCCCTTGACAGTTTCTATCCACCCCTCAAGGCCTTCCTTCTTCGGAGTCAGAGCTTTCTTTTCCATCAAGGAATCGTATGCGGCAGCAATCGATTCTGCTGTACGCTGAATTTGTGGAAGACGATCAAAACGATTAGGGTGTGGATTGGTCCATGGACGGTAGTTGAGCACAACACCAAGAACCCCATACGCAAGATGGATTTAAAACAAACACAAGAAACAACGAGACACAACGATATAATCGGCAAGAAAAATAAAACAAAGATAGAAAACAACATACCGGAGT